GATCTGCAGCGGCAATTCGGCGGGAGGTCCTTCACTCCCAGGCGGAGTGAGGGACCGTCCGCCGAATTGCCGCCGAATACCTGGAACTGCCGCCCCTGTCCGGAACGGCCGCCCCAAGCACCTCTTCTCTTGAGAATCTGGTGCCTGGAGCCAGCCCTGCTGGGAGATCAGGCATCTCCTCACCACTCACATCCTCACAGGGGCCGGAAGGCTCACTGTGAACATTTGTGTCTATGTATCTCAGGAGAGCTCCTTCCTGCTTAGATAGAAAAGCTTCCTTTGCTTTCTTTCTTTTTCTGAATGCTGCCCCAGAGGGGCGTTTTCTTCTTTCACTCATGACTCCTGTTCTGTGCCAGCGATAATAGCTCTCAACACTGTAGCCTGATTTAGGGTGCACTGATAATATTAATTTGGATAATATGGGAATTTAATTTATTAATTTAATCTTAATTAATATTAATAACAATTATTAATATTATTATAATTAAAATTAAATAAAATTAAATTGATAAATTAAATTCCCATATTATCCAAATTAATATTATCAGTACACCCTAAATCAGGCTACAACACTCAATTGAAGAGGGCAAATAAGCAGGCTGGTAGCAGGGCCTGAGTGAGGGAAGATATCAGCGTCTTAAGGTCCTAACTGGCCCTACTACTTCAGTTGACTGCCTGTTCTCCTCAAGTGGGTTCAGGGAAGCAGCAGGAATCAGGAAGCTCCCTGAGAAGCTGGTGTTAATCAATTCAGGCTCCTGGGGGTGCTAGAGAGGTACATAAAAGGCTCCTCCTCCTCTCTCTCCCTGCAGCTCCTGTTGCTTTCTGTTATTCCCTCCCACCTCTTCTCCTGCCTGCCTGTTATGTCTCTTGTGCCCTCCTTCCTCCAGCACAGCACTCCACCATCTCTGTGCATCTAGAGCAGAGAGAATACATATGGACCAGCAGCAGACACAATTTTCTGCACTCTGGGTCCTAGTGGCGCCCCCCCACAGTCTGGCACCTGAGGTGGCCGCCTCAGTTCGCCTCATGATAAGGCCAGCCCTGGCTGGCAACTTCCGTACACTGCTGGGTTAGCTGTCTTCTTATCTTAGGTGTCTTTGACTCTAGCTCCGAATTCAAGGATGGAATCTCTGAGTTAAGAACCCAGCTTTAAATAAAACAGCTATTCTTTTTTTTAAATGCACAAAATAAGCAAGTAATCTTACCTCGTTGTCTGTGCCAACATCAAGCAGGACAGGCAGACACTGTTGTGGGTGAACGCCACCACAGGCTGTGTACAAGGCAAGTTTCCCTACTGGGATCCCCATGCCATAACTTCCTAGATCTCCTAGGCCTAGAATTCGCTCTCCATCTGTCACCACGATGGCCTGCAGATAATGAAGAGCGTCTATTATACAGCTTTGCCAATGCTTTATTTAACATTGTTTGCAGTACCAGCTCCCTAGATTTTTATAACAATGCAGTTTTGTAGCCACAGTACGGGATGGAAGTTTTCCCCCTTCGTAGGTTACTGTACTACTAGTTATCACAAGTCAGCCATGGGGAGATGGCTAGGAGGGCAGCAAAGCATGGTGGAGAACATCAGTGAAGGACTCTGAGCCCTGGTCTGCCCTGCAAACGTATGTTGGTATGACTATGTCACTCAGCGGTATGGAGAATCCACACCCCTGAGTGATGCAGTTACGCAGTGTAGACAGCACTATATCGATGGGAAGTGGCGTACCTGTGCCTACAGGAGAAGCTCTCTCTTTGGCATAGGTCGCATCTTCACTAAGTGCAACAGTGGCGCACGTGCACTGGTGCAGCTCTGTAAGTGTAGACAAGCCCTTAGGTCAGCATTTCTCAAACGGGGGTCCGCGTGGGTACTCCAGGAGGTCCGCCAGCCCCACTGATCAACTCCTCCCCCACCCCCCCTCAACTCCTCCCCCTCCCTCCCAGGGCCTCCTGCACGCCGGGAAACAGCTGTTCAGTGGCGTGCAGGAGGCGCTCTGAGAGAGGGGGAGGAGTGGGGATGGGGCGTGCTTTGGGAAGGGTGCGGAATCATGTCCGGGGCCGCTGGCCCCGCTGATCAACTCCTCCCCCGCCCTCCCAGCGCCTCCTGCACGTGGCAGAACAGCTCTTCAGCGGCATGCAGGAGGCGCTGAGAGGGACGGGGAGGAGCGAGGATGGGGCATACTCGGGGGAGGGGGCAGAAAAAGGCGGGGAAGAGGAAGGGCAGGGATGGAGTGGGGGGCGGGAAGAGGTGGGGTGGGGGTGGGGCCTGGGGGGAAGGGGTGGAGTGGGGCCAGGGCAGGGGGCTTGGGAGTCCATGCAAAATTTTAAATCAAAATGGGGGTCCTCAGGTTACTAAATTTTGAGAACCGCTGCTTTAGGTAGTTAGTAATTATCCCCCTCCATGCCCCACCCGCCTTTATCTATTTTATCCACCTATCAGGTCCCTCACTAGCAGTCTTTGAAATGAGCCAATTTTGAAGACATGGGAAGGGAGAGACTGGAGTAAAATGATATAAACTTGTTTAATTAAAAAGCCGTGTGATTTAGCTCTTCCTATCTCCCCTCTTTGCTAACGTCATTTTCTGAATCAGCCAATGCTATAAGATCTCACTTGTAATTCTATACTGGGTATATTGATCACTATTCCCTTCACAGAACTGACCCAGACACAGGTCAGCTGGCATTAACCTAATGTTCTCTAATTGTTACAGCCAAGTTCATAAAGAGACTACTTGGCATTCATGTAGTGCCTTTCACCCAAGGATCTCAGAGCACTTTGTATGTATTCAGAAATTAAGCCTCACAGGCCCATGACCCGACACCTTGGTCGGTATTATTGTTCCTGTTTTCCAGATGGGGACACTGAGATAGAGAGAGAGGCATACGTGGCGTGCCTTAAGTCATGGCAGAGCTTGGAATGGATACTTGCTTTCCTGACTCCCATTGCGGTGCCATAACCCCAAGACTAGTCTCCCCATCACGTTTTTCTTCTCTCCACTCTTAGGCCTAGCTTGACCTAGCTATGTTGCTCAGAGGTGTGAAAAATTCACACCCCCTGAGAGATGTAGTGAAGCTGACCTAGGCCCTAGTATAAATACCAGTAGGTCAACAGAAGAATTGTTCTATTGACCTAGTACTGCCTCTTGAGGGGGTGGATTAACTACAGTGATGGAAAAACCCCTTTCATCGCTGTAGCAAGTGTCTACACTATGGTGCTAGAGAGGCCCAGCTGCAGTGCTGTGGTTGTACCACTGTAGCATCTGTAGTATAGACGTAGCCTACGTAGCCTTACTTTAGTCTTTTCTCTCATCCAGGCATTGACATCTACACTAGATTTGAGCGTGAGTTAGTCAATTGTCAGGTAACACTAGTATCTGACATGTATGTAGGCGGTTAGTGTAGACACTTCCCATTCTACCAACTTCCCTTTTTAGCACTACGATGGCAAGCAAATACCTAGGTTGATCCCTAAGGGAATGTCCACTGCACTTATATGTTTATTTGACTGATGGTTTTGTTTGTTTCTCTGTGACAACCAGGGGAAAAAAGCGTGGCCAAGATTTTCAAAATTAGAAGTTTGAAGTTAAGCAATTTAATCACCAGTCTGAGGTTAAGAGTGTCAAGGACACAACTTACCTGAGGTTAATTAGGCTCCTATCTTTGCCAATCTTGTTGGGTATGTGTGTGTGTGTGTGGTGGTGGTGAAAATTAGTAAGAACAGGACAAAATGGCAATTCTGCCTTAATGCAGGAGGAAAGTGCCACAGTGCCAAGACCTGGACTTCCAAACCTGGCCAGGAGCTTCAGGGAACGGAGCATTCAGATCCAGATCATGTGGATTATTCGATTGAGGGTGACTTAAATATCAATCTCTCTTGGATATCAAAGGAGAAGTACATGGCGAAATTGTTTTTATTTACTGGTTCACTGACTTAATACCAAAAGGAGACCCACATGCACTTTTAGAAGAAATAAGAGAATGAAGGATTATAAAATATCTCAACAGATCTCCTTTCTTTGGTGGGGGATAATAAAGGTGGGTTTATTGGCTAGGGCTATTTGCTAGGGCAAATGGGCTTTGTGAACTCAGGGAAAGAACAAATCACGTGATCAACTCTTTTAGTTCAGGAGGAAAATTTATTTTCGAATGTTCTCTTTCAGCATATTTCTGATGATTAAAGGGAGATACCATTGGAGGATTTAAACTTGTGTCATACGGTTTTAGTTTCATTGCTGATGAACGGTCATACACTGTTATTCAATGCACACAATATAGATCTCCCAAGGATCTTGCAGTTCTTTTCTCCCCCGAGTTAACCCGTAATTTTAAACTGGAAAAAACAGAACTGCACAGAAGTGGCTCATGAAAAATCATGAGACGGGTGAAAGAAATGGCTTGTTTGGCACAATGCATCCATGCATATATTTGTGTTTTGTCTCCCTGCCAAAAACTGCCGTACATTTGTGTAATATTGGGTGTACTAAAGTTATCATGAAGTGTATGCTGTGTCAAGTATCAGAGGGGTAGCCGTGTTAGTCTGAATCTGTAAAAAGCAACAGAGGGTCCTGTGGCACCTTTAAGACTAACAGAAGTATTGGGAGCGAGTCATCTTGCATCTGAAGAAGTGAGGTTCTTACCCACGAAAGCTTATGCTCCTAATACTTCTGTTAGTCTTAAAGGTGCCACAGGACCCTCTGTATGCTGTGGTTGCTCTTGTGACAATCCCTGAGTAGGTGCCAACTAGGGTTGTCAACTCTCTAATTGCACAAAACCGAACACCCCTGCCCCACCTGCTGTCCAGCCCCTTCCCCGAGGCCCTGCCCCCACTCGCTCCATCCACCCTCCCTCTGTCGCTTGCTCTCCCACACCTTCACTCACTTTCACTGGGCTGGGGCAGAGGGTTGGGGTGCGGGAGGGGAGTGAGGGCTCTGGCTGGAGGTGGGGGCTCTAGGGTGGGTCTGGGGATGAAGGGTTTGGGGTGTGGGAGAGGGCTCCGGGCTGGGGCAGGGGGCTGGGGCAGGGAGCTGGGGTGAGCGAGGGGGGGTATGGGCTGTAGACTCAGGGTGCGTGCAGGCTCCGGGTGGGGCCAGAAATGAGTGGTTCAGGGTGCGGGTCAGGGCTCTGGACTGGGGCAGGGGGTTAGGGTGCAGGGGGGGTGAGGACTCTGGCTGGAGGTGCAGGCTCTGGGGTGGGGCTGGGGATGAGGGGTTTGGGGTGCAGGAGGGGGCTCCGAGCTGGGGCTGAGAGGTTTGGAGTACAGGAGGGGGTGTGGGCTCTGGGGTGGGGCCGGGGATGAGGGATTTGGGGTGCAGGAGGGGGCTCCGGGCTGGGGCAGGGGGTTGGGGTGGTGAGGGCTCTGGTTGGGGGTGTGGGCTCTGGGGTAGGGCTGGGGATGAGGGGTTTGGGTTGCAGGAGGGAACTGGGGGAGGGTGTTGGAGTGGGGTGTGGGCTCCGTGAGGGTGTTTGGGTGCGGGAGGGGATTCCTGGCTGGGGCAGGGGGTTGAGGTGTGGGAGGGGGTGCAGGGTCCCGGTGGCACTTACCACGGCTCCCAGAAAGCAGCCATCAGGTTCCTGCAGCCCCTAGACACATGGGCAGACAGGGAGGCTCCGCGCGCTGCCTTTGCGCCCACAGGCGCTGCCTCTGCAGCTCCCACTGGTTACGGTTCCCAACCAATGGGAGCTGCAAAGCCGGCCCACGGGTCAGGGGTAGCGCATGGAGCCTCCCTGGCCGCCCATGTGTCTAGACTCTAGGGACTGCAGGGACCTGGTGGCTGCTTCTGGGAGCCGCATGGACCTAGGGCAGGCAGGCAGCCTGCCTTAGCCCCGAGCGCCCGCCACGCCGCCGACCGGACTTTTAACAGCCCGGTCGGCAGTGCTGACTGGAGCCACAAGGGTCCTTTTCGACCGCGCAAACCGGATGCCTGGCAACCCTAGTGCCAACTCCTTCCTCCCAGGAGTCAGGGTGAAGTTTCAATACAAAATGCATTAAAAATAACAGCAGGGCTGCAGACCTAGCAGAGGTTAAGCAGGGAATGCCATCAAGTCATTATAAGGCCATTGTAGTGGCAAGCCAATCACTAAGGGAAAACAGCACATGTCCTCTCTGCAGTAAATGCATTCATTTTCTTGCATTTGGGGAGATTTTCCTATTTACTTCTCTTTGTGAGTCAACACTAAGTGCTAGCCAGAGCTAGGAAAGCCTCTTTTTGGGTGGGCTCCATCTGTTTTTGGGTGGCACGCCCTCTTTAACCACACCCGAGGCACACAACTGGCATTGGAAGATGGCAGATGTGGGAATATGGAAAGCAAAGAACACATGCTTTGATGGCAATTTATGGTGAAACTAATGCAAATTCCATGAAAATTCTCTATGCAGAGATTCTTGTTTAAAATACAAGTCATAACTAACCCAATGCACCACGAAACCAATGATATACCTGAGATAATGATATTTTCATCCTGTAGATGGATGACTTAAACTCCACCATAGATTTCCACCACAACTTCAGCAACCACTACCCATGAATTAAACTCTCTTGAACACTCCCACACCAGCATCAACTTCCTGGACACCACAATCAGCTTCAACACTGGAACCTTACAGACAACTATATATAAGAAACCTAGGGATCACCCCATCTACCTCAGAAATCCAGTAACCACCCCAAACACACCAAGAAATCTTTATTTACAACCAGGCACTCAGATACCACAGAATATGCTCTGAGGAAAACACAGGCACTCCGGGATATACACTTTAACACACTCAAAACCACCTTCACCAAACAAGGACACTCCACCAGAGAAGTAGATCACATCATGGAATGGGTCACCCAAATACCCCGAGAGAACCTGCTTCAATACAGAAATAAACCCCCCTCCAACGGCACACCCCTGGTTGTCACCTACCCCCACACTGGAACCCATATGGAGTTTTACCAAACTACAGCCCATGCTCAATGAGGAACCCATCCTGAAAGAAATCTTTCCTGAACCCAGTCTCCTGGCCTTCAAACAACTCCCCAGCTGCTTCAAGCTCATCATCAGAAGCAAGCTCCCCACAGACCAGGACACAGCAACTCAAAGCAGCACCAGACCCTGCCAGAACAACAGATGCAAAACTTGCAGACATCTCTCCACTGTACAATGATCAACACCCCCCACGACACCCCTTTTAAGATCCCTGGGACCTGCACTTGCCCATCACAACATGTGGTGTACCTCATCCAGTGCACTAAATGCCCCAATAACAACTATGTGGGTGAAAACAATCACTGCACTCTTGAATAAACTCACACAGGAAATGATAAAAGACAAAAACACTACATCACCTGTGGGTGAACAATTTTCACAAAAAGAACAGGAGTACTTGTGGCACCTTAGAGACTAACATCCAGGGTACACAACACGATCCATTGTCTACAGCCAAGCTCTAAGACACAACCGCATTTGCTCCAATCCCTCAGACAGAGACAAGCACCTACAAGATCTCTATCAAACATTCTTAAAACTACAATACCCACCTGCTGAAGTGAAAAAACAGATTGACAGAGCCAGACAAGTACCCAGAAGTCATCTCCTACAAGACAGGCCCAACAAAGAAAATAACAGAACACCACTAGCTGTCACCTTCAGCCCCCAACTAAAACCTCTCCAGTACATCATCAAAGATCTACAATCTATCCTGAAAGATGATCCCTCACTCTCACAGATCTTGGGAGACAGACCTGTCCTCGCTTACAGACAACCCCCCCAATCTGAAGCAAATACTCACCAGCAACCACACATCACTGAACAAAAACACTGACCCAGGAACCTATCCTTGCAACAAAGCCCGATGCCAACTCTGTCCACATATCTATTCAAGTGACATCATCACAGGACCTAATCACATCAGCCATACCATCAGGGGCTCATTCACCTGCACATCTACCAATGTGATATATGCCATCATGTGCCAGCAATGCCCCTCTGCCATGTACATTGGCCAAACCGGACAGTCTCTACGCATGCTCAGATAAATTTGTTAGTCTCTAAGGTGCCACAAGTACTCCTGTTCTTTTTGCGGATACAGACTAACACGGCTGCTACTCTGAAACTTTTCACAAAGCGATCACTTTATATCTGATCTCTTAGTCCTCATCCTTGAAGGAAACCTGCACAACCCTTTCAAAAGGGTGAGTCTGGAGCTTAAATTCATAACTTTGCTAGACACTAAAAATCATGGACTGAACAGAGACACTGGATTTATGACTTATTACAACAATGTGTAACCCACTAACCCCTCCTTTTTGTCCTATGACTGCAGCGGTGTTAACAGACCACTTCACCTTGAATGGTCCCTTACAGAGTATGTGCTAAACTGTTTGAGCTTGTATTTAGCTGTGACACTCGGAGTACCTACCTTTCCCAGACCGAAAGAAGAGCTCAGTGTAGCTCGAAAACTTGTCTCTCACCCTAACAAAAGTTGGTCCAATAAAAGATATTACCTCACCCACCTTGTCTTGCTAATAACCAACCAAATCATTTTCCAGAGTCTCAGATCCTGTCTCGTCCAGCTTAGCATACTCAGCAAAGCATGCAAATTTTCCTTTAGGTCTTGTATGCCCATTATAGTGGGCAATTTCTTGAATCACAGATTCACCAGGCCAGACTGATGGTGCTGCACCCACTATGCACAGGTGCCATTGACTACACAAGGTGTGAGGCTGAGAATTGGAGAATTGGGTTGGCAGAGTGCAGAATGCAGAAGTTGTGCATGGCTGTATGGATTGGAGAGGAGAAAACTCACCCAAGTTTGCAAAGTGCTTTGAAACAAAAGGAACTATATAGACATAAGCTCAATAGAGCAGCTAGTGTAAAGTTCTTAGTTGTACAGCTCCTAATGAACAAAGTTCAATGAACAGGGCATTTGCCTGTAGTTGAGAAAGGCAGGCTTGTGACTGAACCCTAGGATTAGGACTCAGGATTTCTGAGTTTTTTTCCCAGCTCTGCCACAAATGTCCTTTGTGACCTTGGGTGAGTCACTTAACGTCTCTGTGCCAGTTTCCTCCTTGGCAAAAACATATTTATCAGCTTCAAAGGGGTGCTTTGAATCTTAATTAAATAATGAATGGAAACCACTTTGAGATCTTTGCAAAGAAAGCCTACAGAAGAACAAAATACTTATGAGTTCTCTTTTGATTTGTTTGTTCCGATGCAAAACTTGAGCTCAGAGGGATAGGCTGCATTTCCTTTTGGAAGCTTCAAACTCTGTTGGATTATTGTGAGAAATGGAAAATATCTGAAAGCTTTTCTCAGCTCCATAAAAAGAAATCAAACATACCTTTATATCTTCTTCAGGCCAGGAGTTTAGCATTGTTGCAATATGGCCTTTGTCATGAATGGTGATAAACAGTCCACTAAGAAATGAAACAAAAACAAACCATGCTATAAAATCAGTAACTACAAGGTAAGAGAGGACAGTAGGTGGGAGCTGATTTACTGAACCCAATCATTAGACACATTACTTATTGGTGTGGAAATACTACCCCATTGTTAATATCAATGTTAGGGCTGATCTTACAACCTTTGGGCTTAAAGGCTACATGATTAGGCCTTTAATGTCACCTATGTTCAACCACCGAGACCAGTTTTGTCACTTTTCCATTTCAGTCTGGCAAGAGTCAGATTTAGCTCAATGGACATTTCCTTAAAATAAGACCTTAAACATAGCAGAGATTGGTAATTCCACTTTTAGACCTTTAATAAGTGCATGCTTTTGGCTACATAACACATGAGGAGGCAATGTGGCTCAGTGACTGGGGATACGGAGACCTGGGTTCCATTCCAGACTCTGCAAGTCATTTCACCTCCCTGTGCCTCTGTTTACTCACCCACCCTTTGTCTGTTTTGTCTATTTAGACTATAAACTCTTAGGGGGAGGCTGTATCTCCTTATGTATTTGTCCAGCGCCTAGCACAATGAGCCTCCCAATGCATCTAGGACTGTAGGCGCTTCTGTAATACAAATAATAATAATAATAATGGACTAAATTTCCAAAGGTCTGCACAAGGGGAAAACTGAAAGACACGTGCACTTCTGTTTCACACCCCCTGCACTGGGTTTTGTAGACACATTAACATGCAGTTTCATTCAATTACCCCGCGTGCAAACACAAACCCCTTGTTTGCCCAGCAAAACCCATTTTAAGTGAGTCAAGGGATGTATGTGCATTCTACGCAGCTCTCCCATTACGTAGTTCTGATGGCTGTGATGCCCAGGGTAAAATTTCAATATTCAAATATTTGCGGTAGTAATGGTGTACACCGTTCATGCTAGGTACCTCCAAAGACAAAGGTAGCCACCTGCCTATTCACTGGGAAACCAGATCAAGATGACAGCATTACCAGACCATCTCTCTTAACAGCTGCTTAGTGTTTTCAGATATAGTGTTTTCTTTGCTGTCACTCCGAGATGTACTACCCTCTGAAAGTGGTATTTCTAGAATAGCCTCTGCAGTGTTATTCAGAGTAACTGGCTTATGTTGTGATGCCTTTTTTTGAAACACTACTTTACCAGTGATAACGCAGAAAAGGGGAGGGATAGCTCAGTGGTTTGAGCATTGGCCTATTAAACCCAGGGTTGTGAGTTCAATCCTTGAGGGGGCCACTTAGGGATCTGGGGCAAAATCAGTACTTGGTCCTGCTAGGGAAGGCATTTCAAGGTCCCTTCCAGTTCTAGGAAACAGGATATCTCCATCAATTTATAGTGGGGAGGGATAGCTCAGTGGTTTGAGCATTGGCCTGCTAAACCCAGGGTTGTGAGTTCAATCCTTGAGGGGGCCACTTAGGGATCTGGGGCAAAATCAGTACTTGGTCCTGCTAGCGAAGGCAGGGGGCTGGACTCGATGACCTTTCAAGGTCCCTTCCAGTTCTAGGAGATAGGATATCTCCATTAATTTATAAATTTATTTATTTATAAAACAGCGGCCTGACGTATCCATTATATATATATGGAAAGTAGATGCCCAATCCTGCAAGGCTTAGTCTATACTGAGCTCCCTCCACTCCTGTTGGCTTCAGGAAATCTTGCAGATTAGAGCCCTCGATTTGGACTGGCTGTAAGAAATTAGAGGCAATATAAAAATGTGCCTATATATATATATATAATGGATACTTTGCCATATATAAATATATAGATCCATTATATTTTTATTTTTTATTATATATATCAGAAAGCAAATTTTTATATTCCCTCTAATTTCTTACAACCAGTCCAAATCAAGGGCTGTAACCTGCAAGATTTCCTGAAGCCAACAGGAGTGGAGGAAGCTCATCACTTTGTCAGATTTCCATTTCACAACCCTCTCTCTTAGGGCTACAAAATTAAGTCGACTTAAGTTGATGTACAGCCACCCCAGTAATTAAAGTGGTGGTTCACATCCACACTTGCTCCTTCTGCCATCGGTGCGCGTCCTCACCAGGGACACTGACAGCTGGAGCCTGGCAGCTCTGGGGCTGACAGTGTGAGGTATCAACACCATGTGCTGACAGCCACCCCAGCACTGACAGCCTGAGCTGTCAGCCAAGCACGGGTCTCAGCTGGTGCTCGGCTGACAGCTTAGACTGTCAGCGCTGGGGAAGGGGAGGGAGGGCACCAGCTGTCAGCCTCACTTGGGGTTGACAGTAAACAGGTGATGTAAATAACGCAGTGTCTACACGGACACTGTGTTGCCCTAACTACATCGACATAAATGCTATACCTCTTGTGGAGATGGAGTTATTATGTTGGTGAAGCAGTGGACTTACTTCGGCAGAAGCAGCATTCTAGTGTAGATACTGACAAATTAGGTCGACATAAGCCACCTTGCGTCAACCTAACTCTGTAGTGTAGACCAGGCCTTATAATGCTGCAGCCGTGTCGCTGTAGCGCTTAGTGCAGATGCTATCTACATTGATGGGAAAGCTTCTCCTGTCAGCACAGGTACTCCACATCCCTGAGAGGCGGTAGCTAAGTTGGCGGGAGAAGCCCTCTCATAGCGCTGTTGCACCAGGGATTAGGTTGATACAACTGCGTCGCTCAGGGGCATGGAAAATCCACACCCCTGAGCGACGTAGTTATACTGACATAAGTTTGCAGTATAGACCAAGCCTTACTATCTGTCCCAAATCAGGGAACACATGCTAGTGATAAGTATTATTCTGTAAGACTGTTATAATTATTAACAACATAGCATCATGAGGGAGCTCTGGAGCCGCTGGAGAAGTAGCTCGGCATTTCTAAGCCACAAAAGCTATTCAGTTCAGGCAAATACAGATCATTTAATGGTTTTGTCTTCCAATATAAAAACATCAGCTACAAAGGAGATATTTTATAGGGCTTTGAAAAACCATCTCCATTCCAAGCCCAGAACACTGCTGCATGAGCAAACCTAACTGGAAAGCAATGATTCATTTGAGAACAATTAAAACAGAAGAGTATACAACTTTTTATAGCCATTAGTTGCTTTTGGCAGCAGACAAAAGGAATTTTGCTGTGCACTAGACTCCTGCTGAGAATCTTGATAAAAAGACCATGCTCTTTTAAAACAGAGGAAGTACAAAATATAGTGATAATTTCTGTGGTAATCAACACCTGAGCACACAGGAAAACTGGAAATGTAATAAAATTGAATCTATCGGTCCACGTACAATGCTTTTAAACAGTCCCCACTAACCAACAACAAGTTAACCACATACACATAGAATCATAGAATCATAGAAGATTAGGGTTGGAAGAGACCTCAGGAGGTCATCTAGTCCAACCCCCTGCTCAAAGCAGGACCAACACCAACTAAATTATCCCAGCCAGGGCTTTGTCAAGCCGGGCCTTAAAAACATCTAAGGATGGAGGTTCCACCACCTCTCTAGGTAACCCATTCCAGAGTTTCACTACCCTCCTAGTGAAATAGTTTTTCCTAATATCCAACCTAGACCTCCCCCACTGCAACTTGAGACCATTGCTCCTTGTTCTGTCATCTGCCACCACTGAGAACAGCCGAGCTCCACCCTCTTTGGAACCCCCCTTCAGGTAGTTGAAGGCTGCTATCAAATCCCCCCTCATTCTTCTCTTCTGCAGACTAAATAAGCCCAGTTCCCTCAGCCTCTCCTCATAAATCATGTGCCCCAGCCCCCTAATAATTTTCATTGCCCTCTGCTGGACTCTTTCCAATTTGTCCACATCCTTTCTGTAGTGGGGAAAAATTGGATGCAGTACTCCAGATGTGGCCTCACCAGTGCCAAATAGAGGAGAATAATCACTTCCCTCGATCTGCTGGCAATGCTCCTACTAATACAGCCCAATATGCCGTTAGCCTTCTTGGCAACAAGGGCACACTGTTGATTCATATCCAGCTTCTCGTCCACTGTAATCCCCAGGTCCTTTTCTGCAGAACTGTCTCTTAGCCAGTTGGTCCCCAGCCTGTAGCAGTGCATGGGATTCTTCCGTCCTAAGTACAAGACTTTGCACTTGTCCTTGTTGAACCTCATCAGATTTCTTTTGGCCCAATCCTCCAATTTGTCTAGGTCACTCTGGACCCTATCCCTACCCTCCAGCGTATCTACCTCTCCCCCCATCTTAGTGTTATCTGTAAACTTGCTGAGAGTGCAATCCATCCCATCATCCAGATCATTAATGAAGATGTTGAACAAAACTGGCCCCAGGACCCACCCCTGAGGCACTCCGCTTGATACCGGCTGCTAACTAGACATAGAGCCGTTGATCACTACCTGTTGAGCCCGACGATCTAGCCAGCTTTCTATCCACCTTATTCACCATTCATTCAATCCATACTTCTTTAACTCGCTGGCAAGAATACTGTGGGAAACCACTTCAAAAGCTTTGCTAAAGTCAAGGTATATCACGTCCACCACTTTCCCCATATCCACAGAGCTAGTTATCTCATTATAGAAGGCAATTAGGTTGGTCAGGCATGACTTGCCCTTGGTGAATCCATGTTGACTGTTCCTGATCACCTTCCTCTCCTTCAAGTACTTCAAAATGGATTCCTTGAGGATCTGCTCCATGATTTTTCCGGGGAATGAGGTGAGGCTGACCTGTCTGTAGTTCCCCGGATTCTGCTTCTTCCCTTTTCAAAAGATGAGCATTATATTTGTCTTTTTCCAATCGTCTGGGTCCTCTCCTGATCGCCACGAGTTTTCAAAGATAATGGTCTATGGCTCTGCAATCACATCAGCCAACTCCCTGAGATCATGCAGATCTCCTTCTCTGGCCTATTTCAAAAGCATTAACAGATGCTAATCTCCATTATAAAGATATACAGTAATCAAAAGCATATTCCTTATGATGGTCTTCACATGATTCTGCATGAAAAAGGGACTAGTTGACCAGATTTTAAAAGTACAAATTAGCAACATAACTA